TTTTTCTTTATTTTATATATTAGAACAATCTGTAAATGTAATATAAACAATAAAGGTTAGGTTTTTATTGCAAAAAATAATATCGACAAAAAAAGGCTATTAATTACAAGCAGGTTTTKAATTATAGGATTAAATACAACGGTAGGCTATAATATAATTTTTAAATGGGTTCCATTTTTTTTATATATAAGATTGAACAATTTTATAATGTCTTATAGGTATGTTATAATGAATTTATTATGTTATATGATTTATTATAATTTATAAATTAAGTGAGCCATCACTTGACACCTGGCAAATGTGTAASAGCCAACAGGTGATATTAACCCTCCGAAAAAAATTTGTTTTAGGGGGGGGTGAAGTATAAATATAACCTAAGATATATTTACCGAGGGAGGTAAAATTTATTTAGTGTAATAGAATTCTATGACACCAGCCTCAACCACTGTATTAGATGTTTCATATAAAAAACAACAGCCACTTTCTATAAATGTACTAGATACCAATCAACCTAATTTCATACATATATTTTACATATTACATATCAATAACTTTAGGTATACTTTTTTTCCTTGTTATCAACGACGCTGCCGGAACTGCTTGCGCATTTCGTCGACAGCGTCGCCATCGTTTATTATACACGAAAAAATAAAGTTACTTATAAAAACCAGTACAAATATCGAATACATTTATGTTAAAAACTATAGTCTTCTTCGATGAGCCGGTTTCACGGGCTAACCGGAGTTCGCTGCCCTTACCATAACATTCCAGATTGCCCCTCTGCGAGCGGTCCTCCATCCGTCACTTTCATGGTTCATTCGTTAGCCTTCCTTTGCCTGYTTGGCCCTMTCTTCCTCTTCTTTGAGAGTCAAGATCTCCTTTATCATCTTGTAAAMGATCCTGAACATCTCCTCCGAGAGCACTTCGGCTCTAACTGAGTCGTCCAACGGTAAGTCCTCGAAAGCAGGGCAACAATGAATGGCCGTCATKTCCTCCACGGTTGGGAATGCCCTAGGTGCCCACTAAGATCCTCCCTTAGACTACTCCAATACTGGCACTCAAAAAARGTGTGGTTAACGGTGTCCGCGTCACTGTTGCAGAAATGACAGAAYGCGCTGGCGGCCCTACAACTTTACGTATTCCTAAATAATTAGGAATAAAGGCTATAACTAGTAAGGTCATTATCCTACAACTCTAACATTAGTTTGAATTTTACATATTGTTTTGCATAATATATAGGTAAATGCAAATAAGATTTTAAGATTATACTACTAAGTACGTATTTATAATTTTTAATGTGTATTTAGCATTTACAATAGATTTATGAGTCTATATAGTGACGTTATTATTTTTTAATTAAAGTTCTATAATTRGTATACAAATAATCTCTCTCTATATATAATGAATGTATGTTTGTATAGGACTTAATAAWTTTTTTTTWAATATTTCAAATCTTTTAAAGTTATTTWTGGACATTTGAAAYTTTAATAAGCTTGAAAATTTAAAACAAGGYTCTCCATACGTTTAWTAACAGCAATTCATAAAAAATTATCTTTTTAAATCCAAGTTTTGGAAATTCAACACGAGATTATTCACAAGTTTGTCTACTTTTATCAAATAAAAAATATCTACTGAAAATTCAAATTAAATTTTTATGATTATTTGAATTTCAAATTTTTACAACATTGGATATTCACTCGATTTCTCTTGTACTGACCGATATCCAATAGCTGAATTTAGAAACTTGAAATTTACGCCATGTTTATTTTATCAATTACTAAATTTGATAAAATGTTCTAATTATTTCAACTTTTTTAAAGTTATTTAAAACCATTTAAAATTTTCCAGTTTTCAGCTTTTATTCTATAAATGTCAATAAACTTCTATTCGTTGGATCAAAAAGTTTGAAAATTGAATTCAAGGTAATTATATATAAGTTTATATAACAGCAGTTGGAAAATATTCAAAAAATATATAGGTGCGTTTTTTTATAATCGTTTAAAGTTCAAAGTTCAAATTTTTAAATTATTTAGTTGTTAAAATTTTATAAAACAATCAATTTTTATTGCTAGGATTGTAAATTTTATACTAGGTTTCACGCAAGTAGTTTATTCTGTAWCAAATAAAATCTAAAATTTATACAAAAACATACAAAGCTTATAAAATCATCTAGTATCACACTTTAAATTCTCTCTGTAATTAAATCATGGTTATAATAACATTCTATAAAAATTTCCCAATACACTATAAGTCTATAACGGCATAACAAGACATCTTTAAAAATAATAATGAAATATGTATTTATATTTACAAAAAAACACATTATGATAATCACAATAAGGATTTTCAAGCCACAACATAATATAATTATTCTTAAAATCATATTTTAACATTTTCTACATGGTTTTCGTTATTATTTTCAAAGATTTGCAAATATATAAGTAATACTTATTACTTATAGAGTAAGTACAGGCTATCGAGTACTGAAAAAATTACTACAAAATTGGTCAATCGATTGATATTTTAATATGATATATTCTACTTAAAACTTTTGGAATGCATTGCGTTATAAATTATTACTTCTATCCAAAAAAAAATTGCCCAATAAATAAAATCATCACTAACCAAATAAGTACGCATATCGATATCTTCAAATCACAATTTCGTGTATATCAAAATTAAAATATTTCAAGACGTGTTATTTTAGATACATCTATGTAAAATAAGTGACCTCCAAGCAATATGTATGTATACAGATTTATTATGAGATTATTATAAGATTGTATAGGTACTATAATAGGTTAGTTAATTATTAAAATTATCCATTGTTTTTGTTCTATATCTTATGAAAAAAAAAATTAAATCTTGGCTTACTATATTGAAGATTTATCACAATGCAAATATGTAATTACACATTCCTATCATCTCTTTTCTAACAATACGCATATTATTAAGCTTTGTAATATTTTGAAATCAGATTCTCATGACTGGTGTTCTTGGCAAGACGAAGGTGAATAATTTTTAAATCACATGCATAGTMATAATTATAAGTTTAATATTAATTTCGTTTTGATAACTTTCAATTTTGTTTTTATGCAATAAAAAAATGTATAACTATGTTAATARATACTATATAGTGTGTTTTACTAATATAATGTAATATAATTTTCTAACATTGTTAAGAATTTCTTCAAATTTTTCAAAAACATTTTTCCTAAACTAATCTAACCTGTACGAGTATAATCGTATATTCATTTATTTATTAGAGCTCGAAATTGATCATTATAAAGTGATATTATGAGGGAATAAAATAAAATAGTTAATATTTTTTAGTTTTTATTAAAAAACTAAAAACTWATTTTTATAAATAATGATTTGTATACGTTTTCCACTCGTTACATATTATAGGTACCTACCTATTATATCACAATTTWTTATCATATAAAGTTAATTTTTCATATTTTTTAAATTTTGTATAGGCAGCTGTATTATGTAAAAATGAGATACAATTTAATTAGGTAGAGCTAAAATTATTTTTAAGTTTAATAATTTTAGAGTGCACATTACATCGTCTTTAATGATTTTTTTTTTTTTTGAAAATTATTCTATTAAAATATTATGTAACTTTAAATGTCGTTTTTATTATTTTTATTTGCCTACATTTTCCTTTTAATAAGAAATTCAGTAAAGAAGTGAATAGTATGATTACTATACATTTTATACACAGGAAAAGTGAATAATTTTGAAAATTTGCACTCATGAGTAATGTATATATTGTACTCTCCTAGCTGATCATGGTTGAAACGATTTTAGTAATTTCACAAACAACTTATTTTTTAACTTTTGCGCAAAATCAAAGAATATTATACCTGAATTAAATTTACATATATCAATTAACAAAAAAAAAAAAAAAATTATGCACAAAAATAATAAAAATAATCGCTGTTTGAACGCATTGAAAAAATTTGATAATATATTTTTTGTTTAAGTCCTTTATGATTGTTTAAAACTAATGTTGTTAACGATCCATTAATACGATGGTGTACTGAAAATTCAAAATCGTAAACCGTAAATTGTGAATACAATTAACGAGTTCTTTCCGAACACGTGTGTTATTATATTAATCTTATATGATGCATATTTAAAATATTTAATTAAAAAAATAAAATGTAACACTTTCATTTTTAAAGATAATTACTACGAGCRATCTACTGTCAGTATCATTTTTTATTGTTGTGTTTTTACAAAAATATTATGTATGATGTATTTGAAGGTATTCTCATACTTGCGATATTATTACAATATTATCTAATGACGCATAAATTCAGGTATAATWATATAAATTAAATTATCTAATTCAAAATAGATTTGCATTAGCATAAATCACAAATTGTATAAACATAATATTAGGTATAAATACTAACTCAATGTTAGCTACCAAGTTTTCTAATATTAAACTCGTATTTGTAAGTATTAAAAAAAAAAAATTGTTTTCATGCTTCAAAAGTAAATATAAAATATTTAAAAAAAGTTATTATTAAATTCGGGCTAATATATAATTCCACCTTTAATTTAATTTAAATTATCATTATCATGTAAAATCAAGCCAATGGTCATAATCCTGATGCTTTTTCTTAATAAAAAAAAAAAAATTCCACCTTTATATATAATTCAATTTTTTAACATAATTTTTTTCTTCTGAAAATCGAGTGTTTGCGGCCTTAATAGTCTCGGAATATTTTTTCTGAAGCATGGTGAACGTGTTCATCAATAGAGATTTCACAACTAGCGTAGATACATCTTATATAGTGTCTTACTTACACAAACTCTAGAGAGTTAACCTAACCTTTGTCGTACGGACGAATTATTCCACAGTTACCTTTACTTGTTTGTTACATTTTTCGGTTTTYGTATATACGTTTATAAATAGGTAAAGGTAAAAATTGGATAAACACAAAAATTAAAACAAATATATACATATATCATAATAGTTTCTTCTTTTTTATTTCATACTTAAAAAAAAACATATTGAATCAGCATGAATATACAATATGTTGATATATTATTTGTTCAGTCTTGAAAAGTACATTCCATCTACTAAAATTAACGTAAACATAATGTTGATTTAAAAATCAATCCTATAAGCTTAACTATATTATGCACATTTGATTTGTGTAATAAATAATTAAATATTTCTTTCCTTTCCTTTTTATGGCTTTTACTGGCCATTTAGGTTCATTGTCACAGCAATTAAATATTTCTTAATTAAAAAAATATAAAACACATGTTAATTTAAAATTAAATACTCATGATGAGTAACTCATCTAATTAAAGCACATGTTGACGATGAACCAGCAGATCCGTAGAAATATTATTGCTATAATTGTTTTTAACAGTAAGTGTGCTTTGCGTAATCTGATAAMAAAAAAAAAAAAACATTTATTGAAATTTTACTAACCATAAAACTAACAGAAATATTTTTCAATATATTGATTTAGTTTATATGTATGTTAATGTGTGAAAGGTTAAAATATGTGAAAGGTTACACTAAATTATTGTCATTTTTAATGTAAATTCTAATAAATACTTTCTATTTTATAGAATATAGTTATGTCGTCAATAAAATATAAGTGTTTTTTTGCCATTAAAACATTTTACTAATGATCAACGATTTTATATGAGATACTATCTCCGAGATAGTGATGGTGTTTTAATATAAAAATAGCAATAAACAATAACCGATTGCCTACTTTTAAGTTCTAATGTATTGATCTTTCTTTCTTAAGTCACACAGTAATTTTATTATTGTCAAAAAATTTCATTGGTATACATTTAGTATATATTTTTTAGTATTAAAAATTTTACGTGTGGTGACTTAATTCAATTATGAATTAACTTTTGTAATGATTGGCACGTAATTTAAGAAACGTATTTATAAAAATATTATAGGTATACCGTTTTTATTATTTGACTAAAGCAATAATTATTGAATTGAATATGAAACAACTTACTTTTCCCATTTGATTCTTGCATTTTTGATTGTATGTATGTCATCTTTCACCAAGTACAAACGCAGACCGATAGCACAAGCTCGAGCGTAATAATCCCAAGACATTTCTTTTATGTCGAAAAAGAATATCTTTTTATCAGATTCTGACATGTTCTTCCACAGTGTATTAGTATTGTCGTCATTAAATTCCCATTGATTATTTGCAAAGAAAGAAAGTGCAGCGTTGGCTTTTTTCATTTTTTTATAGATATTACTAAGTCTGTGGATAATTAATAGACACATTATAATCAATATATTATTATAAATATTAAATTAATTTTGTTTTATTCTTACATTGGTTTCCTGCCTGTTATCTGGCATAAAAAGTCCAAAAAGTAACCGGGTATCGTGTGAAATAATAAGAACAATAAGGAATATAGATATGGATTATTAGTGGGCATAAACGAGTAGTACCAAACTGCATTGATGGTAGGCCAGTTAGGGAGTCCGTATTTCTTGATGATTTCGAAGAAACTTTCTAAGTTAATTGGATTCTGCTTAGAACTGACATAATTAAAAATAGGTGGATTTGATTCACTAAAACAAATATTTAAAACATTAAAAAAAATTAATTAATTGATTTATTTTACAAAATAATATAAATATTTATTTGACCTTYAACCACATTTGAATACAAAATATAGATTTTCAAAAAGCTCGAAATTCAATGAGATGTTCATTTTCTTACTATTGCAATTGACTACCTACAACGTTAACTAAAACATATTTTTATATAATGCTATATTTAATGCTATTAGAAAAAGAATTTATTTTTGTGAATGTATTGATTGAAAAAGATATCAATTCTTTTCAACAAGTATGATTAATAAAATATTTAATACTTTAGGTAAATAAAAATTATAATAATTGAGATTTGGTTTCAGTCAATGCTAAGTTCTAATATATGAAATATATGATATTATTTATYGAGAACTTACATTTTTGGTATAGTTTTGTTGACTTTATAAGCCGAGCATATCAGTGCATTGACAACTAAGTCTACTGGAACTAAATCGACGACCTTGGTAACATCACAGTGATGTGTGTGAAGCACTCCGGCGCCAACTCCCACAATCATACCAATGGGACCATACACGTTGTCGATCCAACCACGAACAGGTTCATTATACGTCGAAATAACTGCAATAAAGTAATAATGTATAAGGAATAAAATTGTGAAAACAAATATTAACTTTGTACAAATTGTACACGACTAACCGACTGATGGTCTGAATATGCCGAACGGAAGACCAACAGCCTCGTGTTTGGCCAAATCCTCGGCTAAAGCTTTCGTGAATGTGTACGTGTTTGGCCAACCTGCAGTTAAGCTAAGAGTGCAAACATTTTTGTTAAAATAAATTTATATTAAACATTTTTATGTTGAATAGAAATAATAATTCCCTTACCTGGGTGTGATATCTTCTAACTTTTTATCATCGTTGGCCGATGTCACCAAAGATATCACTCCATTGTAATTATACGGCGCTCCGTAAAATTTTTCCTCGATTTTACTATGTACACAATTAGCATAAGCAGTCGACACGTACATACAAGACTATAAACACATTTATAAAAATTCAAAACAACTGAATTATTGATAACATTTTAATTTTTAAATTATAATAATCATATATAAGTTATGATAAAACAGTTGAAAGTTATATTATTGTAATAAGTAGGTACCTATAATACATCATATATCAGTAAATTACAATATAATAGGTACTTAATTATTAAATATAACTAGAATATTACTATATTACCATAAAATTCAATGACTAAAGAATAATAATAATAAAAAAAAATTATTATATTAAAATATGTCATCTGTAATAGTGTAATTACTTATAGGTAGTAAATACGTAAGATGTATAGAATAATAGTGAGTAATTTAAAACAATTTTTTTTTCAAACAGTATAGATATCTGAGRAAAAAGAGATGCACAATAAACGCATATAGTAGGTAAGATGTTTATAAATGTAGGCCTCGAAGCATGAATAGAATATATTATGTAGATAAAAAAAAAATAATAGTCTATTATTAATAGACAATGAAAATTGTATTTAATTACTCTTGAATAGTTGAATGTATAGTATGCTACAATAATGTATATACACATTTAAATTTGAAAATATCAATACACACTTTTTCACTCTTTTTTTTTTTTATTATAATATTTATACCTTCGTAATACGTAGAATATTTTGACAAGTTCCGATTTGCTTTTTTATATACAATAGCCATAATAGTTAGGTACAAAAAGTACGAGTATCTGGTGCACGTTTTGATAAAATTATTGGTTTAAATAAAATTCCTATATAATAAATTCATGAAACAGGAACTAAAACTAGTCTCTATCATTGTGTATTATATTTTTCTAAGACATAAAAACTRCCTACACGATATAGTACAACTTGCAATTCAGTGTCACAGCACGGCCTTCGATGCGAAACACGACTGTATAACTAGATTTTTAAGTTGACCATACGAACAAGTTACGTTTATTACGGATATTCATTCACGTGCAAGTACATTAAATAATATAAATAACGGATATCATAATTAATAATGGTAAGAAATAATATAAATATATATATCCTGAGCTATTTATTATTTAACTCTCAATTTTAACGTAATTATACTACAGCGAAAATTTTTTCAACTCATCATATTAGGTACAATAAAAATGCACATATTATAAAACTTTATTGGGGCTGTKATGTAATTTGGATATAAAATATATGGGAAATGTTCTTCACTTARTTATATATGATTRTCATCGTCAGTCGTCACTTAGTTATAGGAAAGTAGTTTTTAGGGTTTTTTAAGATTTGAGCTCGTTTATGACGATGAATTCCTTGAAAGCTCGAAACACATTGTTTGTAAATTATAATATTTTTATATTATCATAACATCATAACATATTCTTACGGACATAGGTAATTCTCGAATTTCCTCCCCCATAACATTTTTTTTCAAATAAAAATTATTGGATCCCGGTGGACACCAACTCGTTTTCTTACTTTAGGTACAAATGTTTTATGAGCTATTTAGTTTTAGTAAATTTGTTCAYTTACTATTGTTTGTAGTTTTAACTAAACGTGATCGTTTGATCACTGCACGATTKACCGATATTTAATATTAGTTATAATATTATGATGTAAAATGTCATGATATGAAAATTGGCATTTGAAGGTATCCGAAAAGGTAAGATTAGTATTTTAATGGTAATAAAATAGTATTAGGTAATACATGGCAAAAAATAAAAAATAAAAATCATGAACCGAGGATATCAACAGCCAAAACCTGCACGTTTTAGTACATAACGGCTTCGTCACTGTCGAATATTTTTTGCTTTATATATATTTTTTTTAAACATTACGTAACTTCTACTGATAGTACTATTGTATTTTAATGATATTGACCCCTTCGAGCGTATAAATAATAATCGTCTAGTACGCTTTTAATTATTTACAAGTGTTAAAATTATTGTTACCTTAAGATTAGTCATTTCTTTAGCTAGCTTGATGATTTCCCTTGTACCAAGGACATTGATGTTGATTGCGGTGCGTATGTGTTCATCGAATCTGATTGTAGCTGCTGCGTGGAATACGATATTCACATTTTTAGCCAATTCTTGTCTATCACGGGGAGATATGCCTAATCCTGGCAAAGATACATCGCCTGCGATCGCAGATATTTTGTGATAGAACTTCGGCCTCTCGTGTTTCAATCGCATAAACAACTAAAATATCAACACGAATAATAATGATTCAAAATAAATTCGTTAAGTAAATTTTATTCTACAATTTGTTTCCAAATAAAAAAAAAAAAAATGAAWAAATGAAAAAAATTGATTAATTATCTATTAATTAGATAGATTTTAGTATTCTACGAATACATTGTACACTTTTAAAAGTGATTCTCTATAATATGTAATATATTGTGATGACATTTCTTGTAATCATTAAAGTGCAATAATATATTTTATAATATTAATATAATATATTAACGAAACAATAAGGGTCATCCGATGAATAATTAATCATTAATTTTGTCGTTCTACATGAAAAAAAATTAAATTAAACGTGCAAACCACTGCGACATCGATGTGGTGTCCAATAATAACAAAGTATCAATGACCCCATTTAGAGATAAATCTATATGCATTGTAAGTACTCATTTCACTGAGTCACGTATTTTATTACAACTGATGTATCCATAAATAATATTACGCTATGTTAATATCATAGATTATGTCTATTGTCTGTGTGTTTCGAAAAATAAAATGAAATGTTTTAATAGCTCTTAGCCATTTTGACGATAGCATACGTTGTTTGATTTTTTCAAAATAATAATAGAATATTTTCTAAAAATTTAAATGAGATTTGAATGTCTTACTATTGCTATTTCCACAATTATAGACAGCTCAGAATTTGTTATCTAACAAAAAAGTTGTGTTTTTACTACTTTTTAACTTTACAGATAAAGTTGGTTTTAAATAAGCAYCAAAGACATCACAAATACGTTAAGAAGTCAGCCTTGAAATATAGCTGCTACTTTTTCTTTGGTTCCATAAGTTTTTATCATTAAAAGAATCAAGAACGTAGTAAAATTAAATCAGACAGTCACTATTTATAACGGATAAAACTGTTTTATGCATTGTTTACATAGAAAACTAGTTTAAATAAATTTTCAATGTCCTAAATATAGTAAATTTGTCGTTTTTGAAATGACATAAGTAATACCTATTTGATTTTAATCCTTAAAATGTTCTTAACCATAAATTTATATACTCGCAAATTTTAAAAATACATTTTGTCAACAAAATAAACTTGAATATCAATGCATATAATAAGTAAAAATCAAATTTTTTTTTAAATTCAGTCTAACATAATTGAGTGGTTAATTTTATTTTGATGCGGTACAATTTCTTGTTAAAAAAAATGTGAATATAAATTGGCTCTAATTTAATTTTTTTTTTTTTTGTAACTTGTCAAATACTTGTTATAAATTCATATAACTGTTTCTTTTAATTAAGCAGATACAGCTATATATTAGTGTATGCAGATTAAGTTATTGTATTTTACTGAAAAATATTTTACCATCAAACGTATTGCCATTAACATAACTATTAATGCTCTAAACTACTTATTCGATATTCAATAAAATACTTACTACAATAATGAATATAATATGCACACAGTGATATTTCGACAATTAATTATGTTTTATTTTTAGTGTTAGATTTTTAAACATAAGTTTTGASTTTAAAAATGCAGTAAGATTATTTTAAATTAGAACACTACAAGATAGTTAKATTTGTTTAAAATTTTTAGAAATAAATAAAAATATATTTCTAGTATTCAATTTCGAATTAATTATTTTTGTCATCTATAGCTGTTATTATTATTTACAACTGTATAGTTGTTTTCTAATCCAATTTTGATAGTTAAAATTTTAAAAATGTCATTATAGATATTGTTAGAATTATTTTGTATTGCTCGCACAACCACAGTGTTTAAATATTTGGCGTTTCCTAATTTAAAAAAATCTTGTAGTTTGTAATTTGTTTATTGACTTTTAATARCATGTAATATGCTGAAACATTTTAATCTTAATAACATTTTAAAAAATAAAACTGAAAAATTAACCTTAGTAGATTTAATCAAAAACGTGATTAATAAAATTGTCTTACCCTATCTTCAAATATAGCATCAATACGTTCATTAACATCTTTGCCTTTCTTATTCCTAATCAGCAAGTAGATATGCTTGAGATGTGGGCAGGATCTACTGAGTTTTTCGATCAACATCTTKCCCATAAATCCAGTGCCACCGGTGATGAAAATAGAGGCATCGYTATAGAACTCCTGCACATCTGATCTTGGCAGTTTGTCGGTTTCCACTAAGGYCGCAGGATCGTCAAAACTCAGTTCGCCTACCAATTCCAAYGGGTTCAATGGAAAATCATCGGTCACAATATCCTTTATGATTTCATCATAAGATTTTTTGGATTTTTTAGATTTATCGAATTCGTTTTTTTTATATAAATCTAACGCCATTTTTTCTGTATGAGTATAAACAACTATAGGATTGTTTTAAAAATAACGATAATTAAGTGATTTTACGTTTTCACCCAACTCTAACAGTATGTAAATAAAATCTTTTAAAACTATTCACTGAAAAATTTTAAGTAACACGAATTTTGAATAAAAAAATGTTAGAAAAAAAATTCAACTACGATTTACTTATGATTTAAAAAATATCACACTGCACAACCGTAAAGGTATGAGCACTTGTGCATACTTTGGACTACGAATAACGTCTGAAAACAATTCTCATATACTCGTCCTCATATTGTTTATTTTTGACCTTGAGTTCAGCGGCAAATGTTCCTATTGGAGATCGTTGGCCGTGGGACAACTTCCTAATCTTYACATTCAGTACAACTGGCTTACCCCGGTCAAGGTAATAATAAGTGTATGAATTTGGATTATTATTTTCAAGTTCAGAAATGGAACCTCGATTATTATAAAATATTATAATACACTGTTATGGTAAGCGATAGTGTCTTAATTATGACTTATCAATTTCCTTGCTATAAATATTTTAATATCAGTTTGCTTTATATGCAGTTAAAAAAGCTTCAGTAGGTATTTTAACTTTTCGAAATCAAATTAAAAATAACTGCCTAGGTATCTACCTTTTCTACCWACTTAAATTAATTTATGGATTAAATTTTTATTTTTTTCTTTATTATGAAATGAAGATACATAATATATACATGCTAATAATTTATTTGCATAAGTAGAAATTATTGTTCATGATTCATGAATGTAATATGTCAAAATAAAATATATATTCCTACAAACTTTATATAGATTATTTCCTAGTTTGTATAATTGAGACAAATACTGAGAACGATGGACATAGACGTTACTTATGTGTTGTTATTATTATTATATTACAAAATCCAAATTCGTAATTTCAGTATACCTACCTAAATATATATTAAATTTTCTTTWAGATGAAATATACCTTATACAAATATTAAATTCATCAAAATAAATGCAAAATGGGCGGTCGTCAATATAATTTAAAAAAAAAAAAAGAATATCAACCAATTTTAAAAACCGTTAGTTTGAAATGAAAAAAGACTGAGATCGGCTGTAACAAGCTGATGGCTGTTAAGTGCTCCCTTTAATGAATAGGAAACTGCAAAAGTGTATTAAATTTAAATTCAATTATAGATTGTTGAATTTTAAAATAACATTCTGAGCATCTAGTAGCAGTTATATTGTAAACAATATATAATATTGTATACAATATATGTTACAATATATTGTAAACAAACTATCCTTCCTWACCGGTTAATAACTATACGCAGTTGATGCTTTACTTTTACAACAAACGTTATAACGGTCTTGTTAAAMCGGGTTTGCATGACGATAATTTAATACGRTAGTGTTTAAATCGTAATGCCAAGAACAATGAGAGTACAAAAAATAGAGGACAATATGATAGTTGCTGCTACAATGTCAGAGCTTTCAATKAAGTTATCACACTATCAAACGTGCGTAATATTTGATAGTGGAATTGGTGAGCTTGAGTCTTACCTACCTAAAATTAATTTTTCRTYTACTTTAATGACCTTTTTTCTTTCTTTGTCTATATATAAATAGGTACTTACCTTGAACCTACTGTGTTTTATATATACAAGTTAAGCTGTATTTATCGTCTCCTTTTCCYCATATAACATATACCTCTTTCAAGAATTTATTTAAAAATGCAATTATTTACTTTTGATTTTGAATTTATAATAACCACTGTCCTGTGATGGTAATATGRGACAAATTCATAATATAATAATATATAATATATATCATATATATATATATATAATATGTATAGTATAATAATTTTTTTAATTGTGTAATTTTTTTTTTTATAGATGTTTATTACGTTAAACAAAAATATGCTATGGATGCCATTATAGACCACTTTAATATAAGTATTATTTAACCACCACATTGTTTTTACTTAAGCTGAAATTAATATTTTTTCTAGTAAAAATTATTTCCTTGAAACCCTGAAAATAATGTCTTTTTAATAAACAGGGAGTTAAAAAAGAGTTTTTATGCTGATTAGCTACCTATCTAAACTTTTAAATACTATTTATGAATTTTAATATTGCTAAGTATCATACTTATGACTAATCATTATTCCATATTTCCATCTACAAGAAATAACAAGTAGTAAAGAGTAATAAGTACATTTCTTGTTKTGATTTTATTTTGGTATTTTGAAATTGCAGCAATATGAGTTATTGTCATTATTGAGTTGTAACATGTAATAATTAACATCATTAACAATGTAGAAGATTGAAGTAATTTTTAAATACGAAATATGATATAAATACAAACAAAAGACCACATATTGTATCCACGATAATCATTGTTAAACCAATATATTCCTCGTTTCACTCGGATTCTAAAAATATAGACTTCTTCTAATATATATATATTTAATTCATATAGGTTTTTCTTTAGTTATAAAATACCATCAACTGTAATTAAATGCTATAGTCTTATAGAGTGTCCTGAAGCAATACCAAACGTTCGTTCTAGGTGGCAGGTATAAAAAACACTGGTTAAAAAAATGTATGGTTGAGAATTTCAATCGTGGCATAAACTCAAAATTCAATTGTTATAATAAGTAGCATTGCTTTATTTAGAAGTCAGAACCTACTCACCTAACTAYAACCAACCTCATCATTATACACGGAGTTCGCAGGCACAGCGGGTCTCTATATTACATAATAATATATGGTTTTGAAACATATTTACGATTTCATAATCATAACCGACGTCCAACACAGACATATTATTGTAACTACACGTTTTGTTTACCAGGAATACACATTATTTCGGTTTGTTAATATCAGTAAACAAGTAAAATAAATAGAAAAATATATTAAATTAACTTTTTTTCTGATTAGTTTATGCATTGGTAAACATGTACGCCATAGACCGTGAGGGATTGATCTAGTGTTGTCATCAATGTTTACCAGACCCTAGACCGTGACGGTCTAACTATGACCTATATAAAAACTAAGTATGTTTAGATCAACATGCAGTTCGTACAAAATTTACATTTAAGTACTATTATATATGAATAAATTATCATCGAAAACAAAGAAAAGTATTATCAATACAAAGCGTCTTAATTTTTTCTCAAACATAAATATATTTTAAAATTTAAACATATATGTAGATGCCTATTTATTTTTAAATGTTTTGTTAAAAATTATAAAAATAACGAAGTTAAATTAACAAAAATAAATTAAATTCTCTATTATATAGAAATAGTTAAACAGTGAAACCTCCCTTAACGGACACCTCCAAATACCGGATATTTTTTCAGGAACGAGAAAATTTTCACTACCTACTTTTATACAGGAACTTTTATGGAAAATTAATTTTGATTCTGAAAAATGTTATCGTATAGAATAGTCGTGGGATGCTTTAATAAATACCTATCTATCTATATTATAGTTATAACTTATAAGTTTATCTTATCAGTTCATTATTATCACGTCGATTAAAACATTTTTCTAGTTTATGTCTGTGAAGTATCCTACTCGTATTTAGTTGTGTTTGTGATTCCATTACACACGAACGTATTCGTAAACGTTTTTGGCAGAATTCCCAATGGGTACCCGTAGGTTTCTGCCATGCCCGAGTGAGGGGCGACGGCCTCTCTTTCCAGGCAGCATGAACTGCCCGGAAAGTTATGCCGCCCATGATCAGGATTCGAACCAGTGACGGTGCGCGTCGCAACCGATGCCTTAATCCGCCCGGCCACTACACCCCCYTCAATATTAATATTTGCATTAAAATAATAGAAATACAGAAATATATTATAAACAATAAATGTTGTAAATAAGTAATTATTAATTTCTCCGAGTTATTTTCGAGAATTTAGCCCCTCCCCTCTGAATAGCGTACAAAATTATGGCGACCGAAAGTGTTCAGTATTTAGAGGTTTCACTGTATTTAGTTATAAACATATTACCACCGTATTACATCCAATAGTTTTGGCTTGATAACTAAACCTTATAAATAAAGTAATTCACTTTTCACTTGCTACTACATTTATCATACTATTTTGTTACGCCAAATATATGTATATCGATAAAAATTGAATGGTAAACTTCATGTTTTTTAGTTGAATTTCAATAAACTTGGTTAAATATTATGTATACTTATATTTAAGTGCTTCTTAAAAAAGAAAAAAACAATAGTTAATCATACTTTGCTATAGTTAATATTAGGAACCAATATCATACTTAGAATGTTAATCTATCGCTATGCAATTTTACTAAGCACAACCTGCCTACTTTAAACTAAATATTCTAGCATTACCTATATAATATTTAAAATGATAAACGATTATAAGAAAATGTAAAGCAAAAATATTCTTCAATTCAATTTACAAGTAAAATAAAATTAGTAGGTAAATAATGTAAGCTATTATTATTAACTACAGGATCAACGTTTAATGTGTTTTTTGTACTTGCTCGTGAAAAAGAGATAGTACGACAGGTAGCAATGATAGAAGTCACTTATTTTAAATACCTATATCAATACATCATTTTAAATAACCTTGGTGGATATTTTATTAATTTAAGGGGATTCGATGGCAATTTTTTTTCGACTAAAACGTAAAAATCTTTTGTCCATCAGTCCGATGGACCTAATGATGCGATATAAGATTTAAAAACTGATTTGAATTCGTTATTATGTCTTCTCTACCACTTTTCAAAATTATGGCCTAATCTTTTAAATATGAATTTAAAAATTGTGTAATTTAAAAAAATGTAAGTATTGATTCACTGAATTAAAACTGTAAATTCGGAAAAGTGGCTCGGCCGATCTCAAGAAGACATRATAACGAATTCAAATCAGTTTGTAAAAGTCTTATCGCATTATTAGATCCATTGGTTTGATGAACAAAAGATTGAATGTTTTGTTCAATTTAATTTTGAGGGTCATGAACGTGCGTGAGTGCTTATTAATTCTAGTTAATGGCGCGGGGGTCACTCATATTAATAATCAGTGAAACTGACAGTTTCTACTCACACGTTACTAATTTACTACGCCTTGCACGCACGTAATACATAGAAATGTAGAGGAATTGCCTATATTTAACTCCTTAAAACAGGTCTGTATCGAATCCCCTTAAACCTTAAATAAGTTACACGTCATATTAAATATTGAAATTATGGTTCAATATGTTACTTCATTATATTA